TAAAGGAATCTTTTGGGAATTGCTCCAGTGCTGGAAAAATTAGCCTAAAAAATTCTGGTAAATCATTCTTGTACTATTTAATTAGAAAGCTGCCACATTTTATTCTCTCCGCACATTTCCAAAAATTTTTTTTTTTTTTCTCCCATGGATTATTTTATGTGGGTGCAATAGATTAGATAAGGTTGGGGAAGAATAAATCAGTCTATTTATAGAAATAGACAGTTGACCTTTTGTCTATTTAATATTTACAATCATGGCACCAAATGGAATGTGACAACTTTAGGCCTTATGATTCACGCACACAGTGAATGATTGGCAAGATTTGTTATCCAAAAATGAGATAGCATTATACATGAATGCTGATGTTATTAAATACATGTGTATGTGTTCCTGTTAAAATAACAGGTCACAACTAATGACACATAATTTCACAATGCTACTGGTACAAACTATATTGGTCTTTTTGTCAAGTACATTTGCACCGTCTTTCTTCCAACTGATACATATAAACCAGAGAAGCTGGTAGTGACATTTAAATACAATCATGAAAACATTGATCCGTGATTTGCACAAGTAGACTCGATATCTGCATTTCTGTTGAACAGATGTGCATGTAATGAGACCATGATATTCAAATTTATGTGATCTATGCAAAATTTTGCAATTATTCATCAAATACTTTTATTTAAAATATACAATGTACTTTATCTTGATATGTTTTATGCATCACTTTGTGTTATTTATACCTGAATATAGACTGCTTGATCTATTCTTCTGCATGTAATTTTCCTAACTTTTATTATTTATCTAATTTTCTATAATGTTTGAGAGAAAGGGGGAGTTGCTTGTTCTACCCTCTAGTGTGATTCTTGAAATCTTAATAGCTTTAATTTGAACTGTTGCTCTGTCTATGCATTTTCTATGTCATGGATGGTCAAAGCTAAAGGCACTATTTTACAGAGTGAAAAGCAAATAAAAAAATCTGTATATATTAATCAAATCCTACTTGGATGTTAAATACATACAATTAAGGTTTTTGATTCAAAATTTAGTTCAGGTATCTCAGTCTTCAAATTAAAAAAAGAACTATCACAAAAATTAGTGTCAGCTGTGACCATCCTGAAAATAGTGTGTATTTGCATGTATATGCCAGATTTCTACCAATATGTTTATTTTAAGTATTAATATATTTACTCATAAATAATATTTATTATACTCGGATGCATTAACTTTGCATTTTTGTTAACTGCCATATTTTATATTGTCTTATTTATTTTGCATCCAATAGTAATTTGAAATATTAGGAGTAAACAAATCTTAATTTAACACTTGTGATGTGTGACAGCGGTTCTGAAAATTATGTGGACAGTTAGCATAAAGACATGTAACTTTTGCAAAACACTGGTTTTTGTCCAATCTAGACTTGGCAGCACTGTTCCATCGACGCCCACAGTTTAGTTAATCCCATTATCAAACCAGACAAGGGTAAAAACGTAAATTTTCAAAAAGATAAGTGTTCATTAAAATACAGAAACAGATTTTTTGCATTTGTTTTTATTTTTCTTTGAATATTGATATTTATTGAGATAGCAAATCATGTTGCCAATTCCTATAAAATAGTGAATACTAGCAATGCTATCAGTTAATACATATATCAGTTAATAGTGTCTCCCAAAGTTGCAGGCCATCTTGCTAACTGTTTGTCTGAATGATTCTCAAAGCTGCTGTAAAGTGCACCTGTCTTCATGCAGCTTGTATTCGAATTTTGTGTAAACAATGTATTTTATATGTGTTGTATACATCGTTACGGGTCCCAAATCAAACAGGACTCAACGACTGCAATGAGAAGTAATTTCAGCAAAAATAATGTCCAAGCAAACTTCTTGGTGTGATTGAATATACAAAATTATATTTTTAGGTGGAATATTTTGTTTGCATTTTTTTTTTTTTAACCAAGCATATTTTTCAAGTTAATTTTAAAATGTAGCTAATATAGCAACAAATTTGTCGACACTTAGTTATTATGGATTGAGCCAGAACAAAATAGCATGTTGCTATTTTTCAGTGCTTCACAGAAATTTAAGAATACACCCTCTGTAGTAGTATAAGCCATTTCTTTTGTTTTTACCTTTAGTGTTGTGCCCTCTGGAGTTGAAATAAATAAATACCACAGTGCTGTTTCCTAAAATCTTAAAAAGTTTCCAATGTTTTAGTTCTGGAATTTTCCAATAAACTTATTTGGTTAAATTTTAGTTTTGATATTGTCGTTTTTTGTAATAACAGATTATTAGCTGAATTTGTAATCTGTGCTTTTTCAAAATAACTTTTATGGTACCAAATGATTTCACACAAAGTAAAACATTGCAATGTTCATGCTTGTATGCATATATAGATAACACCTAGCTGGTAAATTTATTGTTGGAACAAAAATTAATTTTGTCATTTATACACGCCTGTTTTCATGACATTTTCGTGTGATAATTTAGACTATTGCATGGATGAGAAAAAGAAAAAAATGCTAAAAAAAACCTGGCTTTTATTATTCAACAGAAAACCTTGTGGACAAAGGTGAAGATTATTGGGCTGAAATGATCGGTAGTTTGGTGTGATTACTTAGACAATTGTTATAGGAATCATGATGAAATTAATCTGAGCAATTGATTTAATTTTCTCGGTTGCTGACTTATAAACATATATTCATTTTGTTTACTGTTTATAGACAACTGGAGTGAAAGATAATGGATTGATACACTCACATTAGGGAAAGCCATTATTTCTGATGGGGAGGCAAAGAAACAAAATAATCTTCATGATGGGGACGATTATTTGGACGGGAATTGTTCATAGCTGTGATAATAAATTACACCTATTAGAGTGAATGTTAAAACCCGCTCAAATTCTAAGCAGGCCACCCCAATCAGAAAGAATGGTTTATCCTTTAGAAGACATATTTCTGATAAGTCATATTTTGTACTGAAATATAAACGTGTTAATACTTTTACATTGCATGCTGTATTAGTGATATGTAAAGTTTGTTAGTTGATCTGTTATGATTGAAATAAAGGAATTTTTCATTATTTTGTATCCATGTTTTAGTTAGCGAAGCACATCTCCTATTGATCACTTTGTTGACCTCTATAGGTTATACATCCTGGTAGTTTTGTTGGTATGAAAAGTGAATTTATTTTTATGATATTTTCATACAATTTCCTAGACTTGATTATTTGTTTTAGCTACATTGTTAAAATGTTTTTGTTAGAAACAAAAAGACGCATCAAAATGCCATGAATGGGATGTGTGACCTTTAGAGGTCATGAAAGTTTGTTGGTTCCCACCTCAAGTGTCGTGGTGTACCAAGCCACAAGAGGCTGCTAACTAGTAATGAATCCGTCATTCTGATTGGTCCGTCACTTTCTCGTTGCTTGTTCTATTTCCCTTGGTTACCTGACGTCAGCACTTGTGCTTGTGGCCTTGGAGGTTTCCTTTTACTCTTGAAAGTTTGGCATATATAAAACTGTTTCTTTTGTTATAAATTTGCACGGAAACTGCAAGAAATGCCAAAACATCTGAAAAATGTTAGTCTAAGCAAGTAGATAGTATGGGCATGGCGTGATGAAGACTTGTTTACAGAAAACGAATGTTAGAAAGTTTTCAAATTACGTCACTTAGTCACGTGCCTTCCGGCCGGAAAACCGGCCCAGTGGAACGATATGGCAATTACTAGTTACCTGCGTCCTACCTGCCATTTGCATGGGACGCCGGGAACCAGCGAATCATGAAAGTTACCTATTGAAGCAAAGTTTAACTTGATATGTTTTTGCATGAAAAGTTATTTACAACGACTATTAAATTTGATAATGTACTTGGTGCCATGCGGGAATGAGTAGTTATGTTGTATCCAAACTATTGCATCATTTCCATAGTGATGAACAGCAATTTTGAATAACAATCGGACTGTAAGTAAATAATTTATTGATACTTCTTTAGATATCCAGAGGTTTACATTCTACTTGGGTGAGGGAAGAAAGAAATGTCATACTTTGTTGATAGCATTTGTCAACTTTGGTGGCAGTATTCTGTTAAACTACCATGAATATAATTTAATTTTGCTCCTAATGTTTATTTGATACTGTTCTGATTCTTCATGTTGTGGTTATTTACTACACATGAATATAATGCAGCAACTTATGGTATACTTCTGTGAATATCAGATATTTCTGATCTTAAATAAAATTTAAATACTACTGGTATTAAAGTGACATTGTCAATTTACATGGTATTGTTTTCTTGGAAATTCTTCCCTCTTAATGAACTTTCCGGATTTATGCTCTAATTTATTTATCAACTTGAACAACATTTTTATAGTTTGAGCCTGTGCAGTATTTTAAATATGCATATTTTGCATAGGCGCGGCATCTGAAATTTTGCATGAGGGGCGACATCTGAAATCTAGACCCTCTTAATTACTATTTCCTGCATTTTGATGGACAAATTTTGCTGACACAAAGGGTTTCAGCTGGATTGGGCACCCCCTCCCCAATGTTTTTTTTTTAGGGGACCCGCTGCACTTGAAATACTAGTAGTCCATCCGGTGATCGATTGGCATAATACGAGTGGTGGGTGAATGTACCGGTGACTGACTAACTATGCCGATCCTACTTTAGGTCATTTTTTATTATCCAAGAAACGTTCCGAGCGTTTCAATACTGACTGTGTCAATACTGTACTGAAACATGCCATAGTATGCCATAGTATAATGTACAATAGCACCTCCCACATGCTTTCTTGAAACCCAAGTTCCACTTGTGCTTATTTTCGTTTTTTGTGCATTTGTTTTGCGACTTTTTGATAAATCTAGATTAAAAAAAGTTATTCCAAGTTTCCGTATCATTGAAAAAAGCTGCGAAAGACGAACATTACCTCAAACCGATATCAGTGCGTGTTAGAACTTTTCATACCCACAATGCATCCTTTCACAACAAACTTTATGCTCATGCGCATACCACATTGGCGGTCTATTCGGAAATCATGGCGGACGATATATCGTACGAAATCTACTGGACTAAAGATCGTATCCTTTTTCATGGTGAACACTCTAAAAAATGATCCCGCATTGCGAACGATGGATGTAGTGTCTCTAAAGGTAGGCCTGGAATTAGTCAGATGTCTTTAACAATGTGTTCACGTTCGGTGTGCAGCGTTTTGTTGCCCAGTTCCGTGTTCGTACGATCGTTCGTGTTCCAGCTTGTCAACAACATGACATGACATCGAATTTGAAATTTATTTTAAAAATGCTAACGTTGGACGAACAAATATTCTGACGTATTTATGGGACACATGTGGCAATATTCCGTGTTTTCGTCTTCGATTTCAAGTTATTTTTCACAAAATGCCGTTCCCTTTTCATTATGCTCGACGAGAGGTTCGACCTGTAGGGAAGAACTGCGCAGAACATAACAGGATAATTTTGTACACTATTATTCAATGTCTGTGCAAATACTAGTATACTAAATTTATAGCACTTGTAATGAGCTCCATGAAATTTATCAGATAAAAACTAGCAGAGATGTATAAATATTAGACGTCAAACAGTTTACATTTGCACTGGTGTTGAATTGTCATTCATTCATGTACTCCGCAATGAGTGTTGGGATTACTAGTTGTGTTACAACTTATGGTTTTCTAGTGGCTGTTTTGAATGATAATTAAATCTGTCTTGTATCAGCATAATTTTTCAGTATCAATAATTACAATATAAACTTTTACAATTAAATTAGTAAAAAAAATATTGTTTCAGTTATTTTGAAATGTTGGTCGACCTGTCAATCAATTATGTTATGTCTGTCCAATATTTTATCAGCAGTTCTACATATCATGGGATTGTGATTTGATATTTTACATTTAGAACCATTGTCAACTCAACTATGCAGAATGTACTAATTTTACATGGTCCATTCAAAACCCAAGGTCATAACCTTAAACTGAAAAAAAAATAGGTCTCAAATTTGTACTGTGTGACCATCTTTCAATCAATATGGTAATGTAATATGTGATCGCCATGCCAACCATACCCAGTCAAATGCACCTCCAGACCTTAACCATGGTTCCCCCAAAATTACTTTGTTGCATGTTTTATCATGATTGTTTACCATAATCAGTAATCTATATTTAATAAAAACAAAGTTGACCAGTTTTTATAAATTCCAAATATTTATAAATATGATGTTGTTGTGTGTTTTAACCTTAATGTAAATATATTCAGCCAGCGATGATGAAAACAGTTCACTGGTCCATGTTCCAGGTAAGTCTGAAATAATTTCACTTAGTATAACTTTAAGATTAGATTTTTTTTTCTTCAACTAAATTTTGCTGACAAAACAACTTTAAATATTATTAGCTCGGATACTTGGATTAATTTGTTCAAACTTGGTATAAATATGATCTTATAGAGAACTTTTGGGCTCTTTTCTATTTAACCTGACTAGCAAGTGGTCGTGTTTGTTTTCAAAAATTATGTTCTAAACCCATTTTCTGACATCTTAGGGCCAATTGTGTTCAGTTTATATACATAAGTACACCATAAAACACATGTGCACAAACATTTATATATTGTTAAATTTTGTAGCAGTGAAAATTCCACCTTTGCAAAATTTTGTTTCGCAATTGTCATTAACCTTTATCTGGTCAAGTACATGGGGCTAGTAGGATAAAAATTACAGCAATTCCAGGCACATATTTGATGCTAAAGTAGTACTAGATGTTGATAACTTACTAGAATAGGTTACACACTTTGTTTTCACATTTACAGAAGTTGTAACTAGAAATATAAACATCGGCTGCAAATCAGAGGAATGATTGACAGATATTGCCTACAATGTTTTCTATTTTTGCTACAAAGTTAGGTACATGTACACCTAGACTTTGAGGCACGTCTGTCTTTCATTCACTTTTGGTCAGTCATTGTGTTGATTGCATGTTCACAAATCGGCATTTGTCCAAGTTGTTTAAGCACCACGATGGAGAAGCAAGGAGTCAAAAAAACAGTTGAAGTGAGAACAAGAGTTGTCAATTTGTTTTTTCGTGGACTGTCATTTGCTTGAGATTGGAGATCGAAATGGTGTTTCAAAGCAGACAGCTTATAATATCGTCAAACTGTTTGTTACCGAGAGTATACTGCCAGGAAACTGACAACGTTATAGACTATGTGAATATTATAAAACATTGTGACCATGCATTTGTGGACGGGAAATTAGACAAAAACTACTTGTGTACGGCGGCAACCCTCCCCGGATGTTTGATCTTGTGTTGCCTTATTTGGTGGCACATCAACCTTTTGGTTCCCATTGTCGAGAACTAATAATCGAATAACATTCATTCTACTTCATGTATTCAATTTCATTATTGATATACTGGATGAAGTCTTCATAAGACATTTGTTGCAGGTACTTTGATCAATAATTCTGTCATGATCAGTCGGTCAGCTGGTTCTGTAAAATAACTACCGGTAACTAACGTTCTTTACAGTGCCACCACTTTATGCGCCCCTCTCACTGAAATAACATGTGACGCAAAGTACGAAACTAAGTTGAGAGCCTCGATTGTTTATTGGAGGAGAAATTTAAAACTAATGTACCGCCACTTTTATGGGCGGAGCTTTCTTCTGATGCGCTTCAAATTGTAGACATGCTGTCTGCATTATTTGTAACAACTTCTGTAAATGTGAAAACAAAGTGTGTAACCTATTGTAGTAAGTTATCAACATCTAGCACTACTTCAGCGTCAAATCAGTGCCTGGAATTGCTGTAAATCATCAACTTCCAAAAAATCCTAGCTGCTAAAATTATACAATATACTATCTGCTCTACTGGAAGCACATTTTTAATGGGAAGTACACATAAACCAGTATGCTGGATCATTAATAATAATTAATTTCAGTCATAGACATATATGTACTTTTACAATGTAAGAATCTGAGTGCCTGTGTCATGTCACCACTTGTCAAATGTAATTATTGTGCATGCTTTCCTCAGTCACATTGTTGTCTCTGCTGACTTTTTTGTGTGCAAATTGCAAACTATACATACATTTCATTTGGTAATTATATTTCATGTTTGAGATTATATGATATCGATATTTCACCTCCTTCTTATCATATTTTGTCTTTATCCAATGTCAAACTGGCATAAACACAAGCACATTCTGACCCCGACCAAGATTCTGCCAAAGTGAATGAATCTCTATCAGTGACTTTGGCCTACACATAGGGTCTGAAATACACACCACCCATGATAGAATTCAGTAGTCAATTCCCAAGTAGGATTTGAACTTGGCAACTTATATACTTCAAAAACAACAGCCATTATATGAATGTGATGGTACAATAGGATGGATTTCCTGAGCCTGTTCACTCAGCAGTTTAAATCTGAATACAGTCTGCCCTGCCTTTCAAACACACAGTACTAGGTTTTGGAAGACTTGTTTGTACGCATGTACTTGCAAGTAGCACCTAATACAAAACAAGACAAGAGAAGCAGAGAAATGTTGCCTGTCACAAAAATATATTAAAAAGAAAAAACAAAATCAGATTGTGACTGATACTAGAGGTATGTAAATGTGTCGAAATGGACATAGTGCGAGTGGTTAGTGCTAGTAGCACTAATCCGAAAAACTACTAGATCTAGTGCAAAAATGGCACTAGATCTAGTGCTAAAATGTACATAGTGCGAGTGGCATTGATATCGCGTTGTCAAGACATCCCGTAATTCTCTGAAAATAAATTAATATTTACGTAAAATTGTTGTATCTTTCATTCAAT